ACCCGTCGGGTAGCTCAAGCCCAAAGTGATCGATCCTTTTTCTCGATGTTTGGGGTAAATCGAACGCATCGTAGATAAATGTGTAGTCGATCCCCTACTCGAACCCATCGTGACAGCACCAGGACTGTCTGGGATCAGGGGGGGCTGTGGACGTCCGCGCCAGCCCGGCGCGAGGCGTCGGGGGTGCTGGGCGGCAGGGCGCGGACCAGGCCTCCTCTCGAGAAGAGCTGCTGGGCCACGCCGGGGCATGGGGGGGCTGTGCCCTTCTCCCGCAAGAGGAGGATCGGGTCACAAATGTAGTGGAAGCCCATGCCAAGAAACACCCTCGTCCTCCTCGTCCTCCTCCTCCTCCTCCTCCACCCAGGAGTCCACGGCAGAATGGCTGCGCGCCCTCCTCTCTTCGCCAGCCTTTTCAAGCAACCGTGTCTCAGGTTCCTGGCGGCGGGCTGACGGAATCGGGGGCAGCGTCAGGGTGTTCAATGATTGCAGTGGCAACCCATGCCATGAAGCACCCTGCTTGCCTTCAGGTGCCCAGGGTTTCGCCAGTTTCGATGGCTCTGCGATGGGAAGCGTGAACGCTCCCAGGCCAAACATCAAGGGAGGTCCTGGTCTCAGGGTGGTGCTTCTTGTGGAAGGTCTTTTGTGGTCGAGCTCCTGCTGTGGAGGTCCGCGGGGAGTGCCTGGATCGGTGCTGGAGCTCCCTGGCGGCTCCTCTGGCGCCGCCCCTGGCGCGCTCGACCCGAGGAATCCGCGCGGGCCTCCGAACGTTTTGATTCATCTCATCGCTTGTTCCTCGAGGGGAGAATGGCAGCCAAGGCGCTGACATAAGGACCACGAGGGGAGAATGGCAGTCAAGGCGCCGACATGAGGACCACGAGAGTAGAATGGCAGTCGTAGGCGCTGAGATGAGGACCCCGGGACGAGAATGGCGGTCGAGGCACTGAGAGGAGGACCACGCTTGGGCTCTGGGAGGGCCCCAGGTCCCCAGGCCGTGCCTGAAAAAATCCGGGCCGCCGCCTTGGCAGCTCCGACGGCAGCTCGGGGGGCACCTGCTCGTGACTGTCCGGCGCGGTTTGCGCGGGGCGCCGCGCCCCCCTCGCGCCAAGGGACGCCATGCGCCCGCCAGCGGGGGGGGGAGCCTCCTCGGAGTCGAGGCTCGCCGTAGCCAGGCAAGACCCGTCGCGCCTCGTCCAGCACTCCTGATGGTGGCGCGGGGATCGGTGGAGGAGGAGGAGGAGGAGGAGGAGGAGGAGGAGGAGGAGGAGGAGGAGGCGGAGGAGGAGGAGGAGGAGGAGGAGGAGGAGGAGGGCGGGAACATCGGCAACAATCACAGCCAGAGCCCTAGATTTGCTTGTGATCGTTCTCTGATTCGTTGTTTTGCCGGTGGGCGCGGGCCCTCGCACCCCCCCCTTCCCCTCCCCCTATGGGGTAGATCTTGGCTGCTCTTGGCGTCTGTTTCGAGCAGGTGGGGCCTCCCCCGTGGGGCGCACTGTTGCAGGCAGTCGCGCTAAGCAGAGGTCCGGAGCCAGACTCAGAAGCCAGGCGGAAGGCTGGCAAACACGCGGCTGCCAAAACGGAGTTCCGGAAAATTATATTTGTTATTTCGGGAAGCAGCCTGTTTATTATTTCGTGCGATGATCTTCATTCCGTTTTTTTTGGTTGTCTTCTTGGAACACCTTTTTAGCAGCCACGGATTTGCCAGCCTTCGCCCAGCTTCTGACAGACCCCCCTTCTTCCCCCTCCCCTTCCGCCCACTGGAGAAACTCCGAATCTGAATGACACCATAGAACAACCCCAATCAGTGGATGGTTTGATGAATCGTGGATCGATAAAGAGATCGATAAGGAGATCGACCGGAAACCTGGGAGCCTGGAACCCACCGAAATCGGTCCAGAACCAATAAGCAGGAACCCGGGAACCCGGAACTGGAAACCCAGGAACCCAGCCGATTACCCAATTCGGCGGGAAATTTTCGCCAAGTCTTTCAATTTCCGCTAGGACTCCTTCAGTGCAAGCACTGATTGGGGAAAGAGCGTTCACGAGGTGAATGTCCCCAACCGAGGTCGGGGCTCTCCACGGGTATCGTTGGACCCGCCGCGTTGCCGACGTCGGACGCAGTGGGGGGCCACGCCAAGAAGCCCCCTTCTTGCCTCCAGGGTGCCCTTGGTTTCTTGGGTTTCGATGGTTTTTCCCTGGAAAGCGTGACGTGGCCACCAAACAGTCCTGGACGGCCTGGGGTCTCAGGGCTGGGTCTTCTGTGGAAGGTGTCTTATGGGCTGGCCTCCGCTGTACAAGGCCGTCGGGGCTGCTGTCGGAGTTGGCGCTGCGGAGCCGATCATGCCATCTGCAGTCTGGCTGGAGTTCTTGCCGGAGTCGGCGAGGGGGGTCCACAGTGTCCGTTCCCCCCCCTCGGAGAGGCAGAGGCCCCACGGGCGCGCCCAGGATCGGGCAGGATTCCGTCCGTTCCGTCCTCCTCCATCCTCCTCCTCGTCCTCCTCCTCCATCCTCCTCCTCCTCCTCCTCCTCCTCCTCCTCCTCCTCCTCCTCCTCCTCCATCCTCCTCCCCCTCCTCCTCCTCCTCCACCTCCTCCTCTTCCTCCTCGGAGGGTCCGTTCCCCCTCCCCCGGAGAAGCAGAGGCTCCGCAGGCGTGCCCGGGGTCGGGCAGGATTCCGTCCACGCCGGATGCGCCGTTGGGGGGCTCCAGCGCCGATCCGGGATCTCCGCGCGGACCTCTTCGTGCTCGTGTTCATGTAACTTGGCATTGCTCGGCTTGGCGAGGACCCTCGAGGAGCATTTTGGGTCATCTTGCGAACAAGTAAGCGCATACATCGGAGGCCTAGAGGTTGACACCAGCACTGATATCGGCGGTGCGCCTCCACTGAGAGGAGATGACCCCGATGTCGGTGATGGTGGTCATATTCGGGCTTCCAAGGTGGTCGGAGTAGTACCACCAGCACCAACATCTAGGATCAGCTCCCTCTGGTGGAGGCACACCCCGGAGTGTGTGCTGGTGCCCATGCCCAGGCTTCCCATGACGAAGCCGAACATATGCACGGGGGAGGGGCGTCCGAGCGACGGGGAGTGTCGCGTGCTGCTCTCCGGTCTCGCCGCGTGCGGCGGAGGGCGGCGCCCCTCCTGAGCCCAACGCGGCCTTCTTATTGCGAAGGCCTCACGGCCGGTGCCGCCGACCCTGAATGACGACGACGACGACGACGACGACGACGACGACGACGAGCGCTCTTGGGGACCTCTTGGGGGTAGTTTGTGGGCCTCTTGGGAAGCTCTTAGGGGCCGCTTGGAAGCCTCGATGGGGGCCTCTTGGGGCTTCCTGGGGGTCTATTGTCTGGACGCCCGAAATGGGCGCGGAAAGAATGGGTACGATGCCCAACAGCAGTTCCTGTTCATTTTGAACAGGATTCGCTGTCCACGCCGCCGCGGCCTGTGTCCATTCGAGACAGGAGGCCGCCTGCCCAACAGCGGCCGCTGTTGGTTTGGAACAACATTTGTTGTTGGGCATTGTACCCATTGTTTCAATACCCATGTCGGGCGTCCAAATATTGGAGGGAGCCTGGGACGTCTCTCCTGGAGGGGCCCTCCTGAGCCCAGCGCGGCCTTTTCTATTTCCGAGCGCGTCGGCGCTCGCGCTACTCTCTGCGTGCGTCCGCCGCCGCCGCCGTGTCTCTGTCGCCCTCGCCGTCGTCGTTCGCCCTCGTCGGCGGACCTCGGAGGGCGAGGGGGGAGAGGCTCGAGGGGTCTGGTCCAGACTTAAGTCGGGCCTGTCCCTCTACAGGAGGAAAATTCAGAAATAGTTACAAAATAGTCTGGGGACGATTAGGGGTCTTATTTTGATTTGTTTTCACAATTTTTGAGCACTTGTTGGTGTTACAAATAGTCTGGGGACGATCTGTTTCAGCATTTTTCGACCACTTTGGGGTATTATTTTTACTTTTTAGAATTCTGTCGTCCCAAATCCCCCTGTAGGAGGACAGGCCCGACCTGAAGTCCAGGCCCCTCGAATCTCTCCCCCCTCGCCCTTCCATCTCCCCTCTCGCACTGGCCGTGGCCGACGCAGGTGGGTCGCCGGTGCCCTCCCGCGATGGCCCGTCCCCTCCATTGGTCGAGGTCCAATGGGGCCTTCTGGCTCGCCCCCTGCGACGCTTCGGCTCGCCTGGCAGCTGCCGCATCGTTGGCTCGAGCAGGGAGGGGCGGAGATCGCCCCGTGCAGTAGCGCCCTCCTAGAGCATTGGTCATTCAGATTTTGACGACTACTCCAGATCTCGTAATAAAAGGGAGGGGGTCTGGACCCTCCAAGACAGGCCATTTCAGACCCCCCCTCGTGGGAGAACCCTCCCAAACATCGTCCCCAGAACCCCCAGGCCCTCCAAGATAGCTTGGAAGAGACCCCCCCCGAAATGAGACCCCCTCCCTTTTATTACGAAATCTGGAGTACACGGATGGAGGGCTACGGCATCGGAGCAGTTTTCCAGCTATCTCCTGGTGGTTGCTTTGGTGTGCTAGTGGCCGTGCAGCGGTTATAACCTCCCGCATGCAGTGGAAACCCATGCCAAGAAACACCCTGCTTGCATCCAGGGTGCCCTTGAATCCCTGGGTTTCTATGGTTTTCCAGTGGAAACCGTGACGTCCCCACGCTAAACATCAATGGACGCCCTGAGGTCTCAGGGTTGGGCATCGTGTGGAAGGTTGTTTGTGTTCGAGCTCCTACTGCATCCGTCCTTCAAGCGAATCATCTTGTCCGCTCCCATCTTCTCCCTCCAGCAGAAGTGGACTCGAACGGGGATGGTCGCCCTCCTTGCGCCCCCGCTACGTTCAGATAATGCCCATCCCCTCTCCCCTCCCTCCTCAAGTCTCGACCCGTCGAAAGGGTGGACCGCACTCCGCAGGAGAGGACGACCGCGCCACCAATGGGCAACCGAACAGCACAAGCCAACACAACACGTGAAGAAATTAGTCCCGATGTGCTCTTGCCCTTCTCCCTATATTCCCCCCTCCCCTTCCCCGACTCCCCTCCCCTCTCCCCCTCTCCCCCATGTCCCCGGCCCGGGGGCGCACGCGTGCCGGCGGAGTTTCCACGATCTCGCGAGCGTGGCACAGCTCGTCTTGCCCATGCCCATGCGCCCTCTTGGCCGGTGGCCCAAAGAAGGGGTCCTGAGGGCTGGGTTGCTCAGGAAGAGGTTGCCTCAGACAACGTGAATCCACCCTTGGGCCCCGTCGTACCCTCGGGCCCCCATGCCTCGGGAGCCGATTTCCGAACCACCGACTTGGATGCGGGGCTTTCTGCCTGCATGTTTGCGTCCTCCCTGCCCTCCCTCGCCAGGTGGTCGGCGGGGGTGCCCCTGCCCCCCCCCGTCGTCGTCGTCGTCGTCGTCGCCCGCCCCCCAGGAGCGGCTCGCGAAGGCCACGCTGATGTCCCAGCTGTACGACATCCTCACGGCTCCCAGGGCGTGGACCAGCGTAGGACAAGTGGACGCGAGTCGAAGAAGACAAACAGTGGCATTTGAACATGACATGTTGGCAATCCGCGCGGAGGTTTTGGATCCGCGCCTCCGGCGCCGCCCCTTGGCGCGCTCCGCGCGCCAGGGAGGGGAGTCCAGCGCAAATCCAAGATCGATTCTCTCTGGACTCACCTCGCTTAGGAGTGGGCTAGGGGGGCCCTCAGAGGCCACTGGTGGCTCGCGATCCGGGCCAGGTGGGCTCCACTTAGCGGAGTGATCTACCTACCTGTCCTGAGTATTTCGGTGCAGTTGTTGCCCACTGATAAGCCAGGTTAGGTCAGGTATGACCCACACTAGCATCCACTTGTAACCGCCCTACCCCCATAGCAGCCCTCGCGTAGATCCAAGTGGGATCGGAGGAAGGAAGAGCGACACCACCACCAAGGGGGTGACCTCCAGCGGCGACGAGGCCCACGATGCCTCCCCGAGCTGGGCATGGGGGAGGTGTCGAGCGCAGGGAGGCGGGGCGGGCACAACGCCAGGAGCGACTGCCCAGCTTCTGGCTACATCGTTGGTCTGGGCGGGCACGAGCCCTTCTGGGAGAAAAAACTCGCACTCGGGTGCACGTGGCCGTGTCTCGATCTCCTCCTCCCGGGTTCGCCTCTTCACCTCTGCTGCTATCGGGATACTTCCCCAAGCAGTGCTTGCCCTGGTGGGGTCCTGGCGGATACTGAAAGATTCGGCGAGCGTTTCCCGCCGATTTTGGTAGCCGCCTGGGTTCCCGGGTTCCCGGTTCCAGGTTCCTGGGTTCCTGGTTATTGGTTTTGGGCCGAGTTCTGTGAGTTCTGATTTCCCGAGTTCCCGGTCGATCTCTTTATCGATCTATTGATCGATCCCACTATTCATTATCGATCTCATCAAACCATCCACTGATTGGGGTTTTCTCTGGTGTTACTTACTGGGGTGATGGTCCTTTCTGCGCGCCGCTGCGACGTGCAAAGGGCGGGTCCTTCTGCCGCTTGACGGGTGTGGGTGCCTCGGTCGAGCATTTCACGGCCAGCTCGGCGGATCCGCTCAAATCTGAAGGCCGCTCCACGCTGGCTTCGAGTCGGGCCTGTCCCTCTACAGGAGGATTATTCAAACATAGTCCAAAAATAGTCACGGGATTTTCTTTTATTTTGTTGACCATGTTGGGGCATTTCTTAATTGCGCTAATTTTTCATCCACAATTCCACTGTAGGAGGACAGGCCCGACCTAACGCTGGCTCGGCCGATCCGTGTGGAACAGCGATTATCTTTCCGTCCCTCTCCCCATGCCCGCTGCTCCTCCGTGGGGTAGCCGCCACACGACTCTAGAAAACCTCCCCCCCGATAGTGGGAACATGATTGTTGCGCGCTTATTGACAGATTCCGCTTGTGTGTTCGATGGTTTTGCGATGGAAAGCGTGACGTTCCCACACCAAAAAGCAATGGATGTCCTGGGGTCTCAGGTTTGGGTTTCTTGTGGAAGGGTTTTTATGGCGGGCTCCCTACTACACTTCGACTTATTCATAGTGGGAACATGTTTGTAGCCCCGACAGAAGTGGGAATTTACGTAATCATTCAACGGGACTACGCCATTCCGTCAGAAGAGGCGGGGAACCCACGATGGAGGCGTCGAAGGCTTCGTGGGCACTGTCTGGCCACTCTTGTGGGCGTCATGGGAACTGTTTGGGTGCCTGCTTGAGCCTCTAGGAGGCAGTTTTGAAGCGTCTCGGAGGCCGTTTTGGGGTCTCTTTTAGGTCTCTTGGCGGCCTCTTGGGGCTCATTGGGGGCATCTTTTGGGCTGCTTGGGTGCTTCTTGCTTGGGGCTCATGGGGGGCCCCTTGGGGCGGAAAGATCAGATTTTCGGTTCGCGTTCTCCCTCTTGGCCTCTCTTGGGAGCCCCTTCGGGCAATCTTTGGCTTTCTTGGGCCCTTCTTTGGGCCGTCTTTGAACCCTCTTGGGTCTTCCTGGGGCCCTCGTAGGGGCCTCTCGGACAGTTTTGAGTCTCTGGGGCTTCTCGGGCCGTCTTGGAGCGTCAGAAGCGTCTTGGAGCCATCTTGGGCGTCTTGGGCCAGTCGTTCGGCGATACGGGAACGTCTTGGCACGTCTCTGAGGCCACGGAAGGCAGATTTGAAGGCACCTCCGGAGTTTCCAGGGAGACGCCGAGGAGCTCGTCCCCCCCCCCCCCCCCTAGAAACGAGATTTGGACCCAGGGGCGGGGGGGGGGAAAGGGGGAAGGGGGAGGAGGGGGACTGCCAATTATCTCGCACGCCTTCTCGCCCGCAGCTAGCGGATGTCGGCGGATTCCCCCGCGGCGGCCCCTGCTCAGGCCTCCGCCGTCGTCGTTCACCCGCTGTGAGAAAGAACCATCCGACAATATCCAGCCCGACGACCCATCGCGGGAACAAGCAATACCCTTGCGCAGCCTCCTCCTCCGCCTCCTCCTCCTCCTCCTCCTCCTCCTCCTCCTCCTCCTCCTCCTCCTCCTCCCTCCTCCTCCTCCTCCTCCTCCTCCTCCTCCTCTCCTCCTCCTCTCCTCCTCCTCCTCCTCCTCTCCTCCTCCTCCTCCTCCTCCCCAGACGCACCAACCTCCTCCTCCTCCTCCTCCTCCTCCTCCTCCTCCTCCTCCTCCTCCTCCGGCCCCCCCCTCCTCCTTTGGGCAAGGGCGGCGGTCGGCGCGTGGCGCCCCCCGGAGGTGTACGACAGCGACGGCGGCAACTCCCTGCAGAAGCACGAGTTCGACCTCTTCATGCGGAACGTGGAGGCGCGCCGGCCCGCCCCGGAGGGCACCAACTATACACCAACACCGATTCTGGCCCAGGGTGATCCTGGCCAGGATCGGTGTTGGTGTATAGTTGGTGCCTTCCTACCCCGCTGCTCCTCCTGCGCCGCCCTGTCCCACTGCGCGTTTCGATTCCTCCGGCTCGATCCGGTTCGTTCGTTCTCGGTGGCCTCCGATTCCGACTCGGTCCGGCTTCGGGCTCCTCTTTTGGATTCCGGTTCTTCGATGGATGCCCAGCAGCCTGCCGATTTTTGCCGATTCGACTTCTCCCGACTTTGCTGCCGATTTCCGCCGATCCGATTCAGTTCCATCGCCGATCCGACTTGTCGATTCGATTATGGGCTCTCCTGCTGTCCTGACTCGTCCTCCTCCTCGTCGTCTCCTCCCCCGTCTCATCCTCCTCCTCCTCCTTCTCCTTATCCTTTTCCTTATGAATATATTCTGCCTGTCGCACCCCGAGTCAAGTATTTAGGGCGGGCATGGCGATTCGCCTGAGCCTTCCTCACCGCTCATGACCCTTAAGTTGAAAACTTGGCAACGGTTTCACCGATGGAGGGCGGCCCGTTTTAAAATGTGGCTTTCGCCTTCGCGCCGCGCACATTCGTTGTAACGATTTGCAGGAATTTCACGGATTGAGGCCGGTTCCTTTTCAAAATGTGGTTCTCGCCTTAACGCCGCGCACATTTGTTGATAGAATTTGCTAGAGTTTCATGGATTCTCATACTCAGCGTACCAGAAACAGTCAAGTTGATTCGCGGATGTGAAGTCCTAGGAATGGCGTTCTGGGGTGATTCAGGATCGTCAAGACGCAACAGTCAGGTTGATCCGTGGCGTTGGAATCCCGAGAACAATGTTTTGGCATGCTCCAGGGCCTCCAAACGGTTGTCTTCCAACAATGCAGCTCCCTCAGTGGAAATGAATTGTTGTAGGGGCCTATGAAGCTGGAGCTTGGAGGGAGGGTTTGTTCCAACATCGTTGATGATTATCACCGGTTCTCCTCCTCCTCCTCCGCCTCCTCCTCGTCTCTCCTCCCTCCTGACTCCCTCCCTCCCTCCCTTCTCTCTTCCACCTCCTCCTCCTCCTCCTCCTCCGCCTCCTCCTCCTCCGCCTCCTCCTCCTCCGCTTCCTCCTCCTCCTCCTCATCCTCTTCCTCCGGTGGCGGCGCGCAGAGGGGGGGCAGGTGCTTGGGAAGGGTGGCAGAAGGCGGCGGTAGTAGGAGACGCCCCCCCCAAGAGATGGCAACGATGGTGTTGTTTAGGGTCTCTGGAGTCGGCCCTGCCGAGGCAGACCTCCCAGGACGCGTGATGGGGCGGCGATCGATAGGGGGGGCAGCGAGGGCTGCAGAAAGCGAGCCTCTTGGGCCCCTCAAGGGCCCCAGACGGCGTCCTTTACCCCCCCATTTATCCGGGCATTTTCTTTGGGTGGAGGGCAAAGGGTGAGATCTGAGGTGCCGTTTCGATCAGTCCTCGAGGTTTGAATATGCAGGAGATGCAACACAAGACGGATTGAGTTTCGAGGTGCCAATACACATATGGATTTCGCCCTGAGCCCTCCACCCTAAGAATCGATGTTGTTTATCGCCCCGTCCGAATATTGCGCGCACAGCAGCCAAGAGATGGAAGTGATGCCGGTGTCCAGGTCCTGCGGAGAGCCGGCCCGTCGAGAGGCAGGCGGCCGGCTCCCCAGCGGCCGTTGTCGGCTTTTTTTGGCAGCAGCTCCTACGTTGGGCATATCTTGGCAGCAAGCTCAAGTTTGGCGTGCTTATAGTCCTACCAGACAATGTTCTAAGAACCTTTTGTGGTCCCCACGAAATCTGCATTGATTTCACACATCGGGTTTATGTTCTAAGAACATTTTTTGTTGTTAGGAACACTCTGGGGTCCTAAGACAATTTCGTGGTAGGCCTATAGGGATGCCGGGACGGTCGGTCCCTGCTCAAATATCTTGGCAGCAGGCAGGGAGGCGTGGCAACTCAGTATCGTTCAACCGATCCCCATCCCCATCCCCATCCAGACCCCCACCATCTTGTCCCCCCAGTTGGGTAGATATACCCTTCGAGATCTGACAGAAGCTGCGTATATATTCTCCACCTAGGGGGGGGGTAAGCCGGCCAGTGGGGCCCAGGCCACGCGAGTGGGGATAGGGGTCGGTTCAACGATGCTCAGCAGCGCGCGCGCGGGGGTGGCGCGACGGGGGCCGTTGCGGAGGCCTGATGGCGTTGGGGAGCTTGGGCGTCGGCCCTCGCTCCTGCTGCGCTCGCATCTCTGGAGGGGGCCCGGCCTGGCCCCTCATGCTAGCTGAGGTCTTCTCTCTGGCGCCCGCCCGGCTCGATAGGCGGACTCGACGCGGACTTGGCGCGGATTCGGAGCGGACTCGGCACGCATTCGACACGGGCCCGACGAGTCCGACAGGGATTGGACACGGATTCGATGCGGATGGGGCTGCGGCGGGACAGAGAAGATCCCCTGAGGATGCAACATAGTTATTGTCGACGTCGGCCTTTCGCAGTCGGAACCCATAGTAATCGGCCACGCTCAGAGGGGGGCAGGGAGAGGGGGGGAGGTTTCTTAGAGAAGCACCCGTGCTCCTTGGAAGGTGCGGGCTTTGTCCATAGGATTAAGGGCAGCGCCTTCCTTCTAAGAAGCCTTTCCCCCCTCCGCCTATCGTCTTGCGCGCGCCGCAAAGGTAAGTATGGGCAGCCTCCCCAATGGGTACCCTTGCACCCGTGCCTCTTTGGTCCATCCTTGACTACTCTCGATGACCCGCCGCGATCGAGAAAGCTTCGGCATAGACGTCTGAGGCCCTTGCATCCTTATCGTGAGTCCTTACTGTCGGTTTTGATTGTACTCGCCCCGACAAGGTTAAGGAGGTCCTGCAGAACTTCGAGGTTGACTACACCGGCTTTCTCACATTGGTGGAGGTGCTCGGGGCTTGGAAGCAGGCATTATGGTCGATGTAGCCGACGCCTTGGTTCCGTCCTTCGGGGCGCTTTGCACGCCACCCAGCCAACAGTATGCTGATTCTTCCTAGGTTGTGGATGCAGGAATCTGCTACCCGGAATGCACTGCTGATGTTAATGTTGTCTCCGATATCGAGTGGCCTTTGGCCCAGCCCGTCACCGTACCTGCGTCGTGGGTAGGCGTAGTCGTAGGCGTAGTCGTAGTAGTAGTAGTAGTAGTAGTAGTAGTAGTAGTAGTAGTAGTAGTAGTAGTAGTAGTAGTAGTAGTAGTAGTGTCAGCCTTAGTAGTAGTAGTAGTAGTAGTAGTCGTCGTAGTAGTAGTAGTAGTAGTAGTAGTAGTAGTAGTAGTTGTAGTAGTAGTAGTAGTAGTAGTAGTAGCAGTAGGTAGTATTAGCAGTCGTAGTAGTACCAGCAGTAGTGTCAGCCTTAGTAGTAGTAGTAGTAGTAGTAGTAGTAGTAGTAGTAGTAGTAGTAGTAGTAGTAGTAGTAGTAGTAGTAGTAGTAGTAGTAGTAGTAGTAGTTAGTAGTAGTAGTAGTAGTAGTAGTAGTAGTAGTAGTAGTAGTAGTAGTAGTAGTAGTAGTAGTAGTAGTAGTAGTAGTAGTAGTAGTAGTAGTAGTAGTAGTAGTAGTAGTAGTAGTAGTAGTAGTAGTAGTAGTAGTAGTAGTAGTAGTAGTAGTAGTAGTAGTAGTAGTAGTAGTAGTAGTAGTAGTAGTCGTAGTCGTATCAGTAGTAGTAGCAGTAGTCGTAGTAGTAGTAGTAGTAGTAGTAGTAGTAGTAGTAGTAGTAGTAATAGTAGTAGTCGTAGTAGTAGTAGTAGTAGTAGTAGTAGTAGCAGGAGTAGTAGTAGTAGTAGTAGTAGTAGTAGTAGTAGTAGTAGTGGTAGTCGTAGTAGTAGTGGTGTTCGCAGTAGTACAAGCAGTCGTAGTCGCAGTAGTGGTTCTATATGTAATCGTAGTCGTAGCTGAAGTAGTAGTAGTAGTAGTAGTAGAAGAAGAAGTAGTTGTAGTAGTAGTAGTAGTAGTAGCCGTAGTAGCCGTAGTAGTAGTAGTAGTAGTAGTAGCAGCAGCAGCAGTAGTAGTAGTAGTTAGTGATGTTGCTGGGTGTGTATTGATGTTGTTATTGTTGTTGCTGTTATTGCTGTTGTTGTTGTTGTTGTTAGTGTTGATGGTGTTGCTGATGTTGTTACCTTTGTTGGTGGCAAGGGTGTTGTTGTTGTTGTTGTTGTGTTGAGTGTTGCTGCTGCTGCTGCTGCTGGTGTGGTTGTTATATGTGTTGTTGGTGCTGCTGCTGTTGTTGTGGTTGTTGCTGGTATTGTTGATGGTGGTGTGATGCTTCCAACCCTCATGTTGTTACCATCGCTGTTAGTGCCGTCGGTGTGGTAATGGTTGAGATCGCTAGTAATCTTTTTCGTGTGCCTGGTACCTGCATTGCCTTGCCACTTGCCTTGCCACTGCCGCGCGACTGACGCTGCCTCTGTCATGGCCATTGCTTTAGCTTGCGAGGCCATCCTGCTAGGCCTTCTGATGCCGCAAAAGATGGCATGACATCATGCGGTGCTGCTTTATGGCTGTTCTCGCGATCATCATTTTCACCACCAGTACCGTTTCTGTGATCACCATGGCTACGCTGCTGCCAGCAAACAAAATACTGCTCCCCGGTCGTGGTACGACCGCCATTGGCATTGCCATTTCTGGAGCGGCCACGGCAGCATGGATACCAATACGCCTCAATGATGTCAGGATGTTTAGCTGTCCAAGCTGTAGCCGCTACGGGTACTACATTTAACGATGATACTAAGAAGACGGCTGCTACCATCAGGGCGATCATGATCATTACTGATACTACAGTTGGGTGTCCCGACTTTCTTGTTTTCCTATTGTCAGCTAGTCGCCCTCCGCCCCCCCGTCCCGGGATCATTGAAGTGCACAGTACCAGACAAGCGGATCTCAGTGCACAGTGTGGAGTGTTGTTGTTACCATGCGATGCGCAATCATACTAAGTGGTTGCTTTGCCATTGATGTTCGCGAGCTGTGAGTACACCAGGCGAATACGACGCTCAAGAGTTCGTCATCTTAGTCGCACCGCCGCAGGCAAATACGATGCCACCATCTCAGGTTGAGCCTTCATTTGGGTATAGTGTTTCTGCTTAGTACCTGGCCGAATATAAACGTTGTTGGGAAGCAGTGGATCCATGATGATCCGCGAATATGGACCGACATAACAACATACTGGTCTGTACAATCCCACGACTTCAGATGGTGTGCCAAGCAGTGTGCACCAACATCATCCCCGCTAGCCGGGGCCAGCGTGTGAGAAAAGATGAGGACGTGGAGAGGCTGCTAATCCCCGAGTTGGGCTTCCACTTAGGAAGGGTGTTATTTTGTTCTCTCCGTATTGGGCCGGGTCTTCTGGGATTCCTGCCAGTTGCTCGTTCTGGACGAACGAGATGGGCACGGAAAGAATGGGTACAATGCTCAACAGCAGTTCCTGCTCATTTTGAACAGGACTCGCTGTCCGCGCCGCCGCGGCCTGTGTCCATTTGAGACAGACGGCCGCCTGCCCAACAGTGGTTGTTGTTGGTTTTGGACAACATTTGTTGTTGGGCATTGTATCCATTTTTTCCGTACCCAGTTTTTCCGTACCCATTTCGGGCGTCCAAAACCTTTTGCCGTCTCGCTGTGTCTGTGATGATTTGGGTGGGTTTGCGGGGTTTCATGCTGGTTCGTGCCCGTGGCCGCTTAGGGGCAGCGGCGCGCCTTGCTAGGAGATTCCGAGTTTTCGGATGTGGGCGCGAATTATCGACTTGACGTAAGAGGGACCTTTCGCCGAAGTGACTTTTGGTGCGGGCACACAGATGGGTCCCCAGATGGCTGACAACGAGGCAGGAGCAGCGGCTTGCGCGCCCAGGTTTGGTCCCCCCTCGACCCCCAGAGAGCCGCGCACCGAAGGTCACTCTTACTCCAGATTTCGTAATAAAAGGGAGGGGGGTCTCATTTCGGGGGGGTCTCTTCCAGGCTATCTTGGAGGGCCCGGCGGGGTCTGTGGACGATGTTATGGAGGGCTCTCCCACGGGAGGGGGTCTGAAATGGTTTGTCTTGGAGGGGCCTGACCCTCTCCCTTTTACTACGAAGTCTGGAGTACCCAGGGTCCCTCTTGCGTGCAGCCGACCGCTGCCGCCTCGCTGCGTCTGCGATGACCGGGGGGGGTCCGCGGGTTTTTTTCTCGGCGGGTGCGTGCCCGTGGCTGCGTATAGGGGCCGCGGTGCGCGCCGCGCGGAGGTGCCGATTTTTTTCGGATCGGGGCGCGAAGGAGTTGGGGGGGAGACAGATGTGGGGGCGGCGGGGGAAGATTTCTGGGGGTGATTTCAGGGGGGGGGGGGAGATACATATGGGGGGGGGGGGGTGGCGGGGGGGGGGGGGGGGGGGGGAATTCCGAGTTCTCGGATCTGGGCGCGAAGGAGTTGGGGGGGGAGATAGATGTGGGGGCGGCGGGGGGGGGAGATTTCTGGGGGGATTTCCGGGGGGGGGGGGGAGATTTCTGGAGGGGGGGAGATAATATGGGGGGGGGGGGGGCGGGGGGGGGAGCACGGGCTGGACAAAAAAAGGGATCCCTGTCGGGAGCCCAGAGGGGCCCCAAAGAGGGCCCCAAAGAGGGCCTCGAGGGTCCGAGAAGGGCACCTTCCTTCCCCCCCCATTGTCAGGAGGGGGAAGACCACACACGGACACAAGGAATCCTCGACCCCCAAGACAAGATGGGAAAATATGGGAAGTGGGGCGGGGAGACAAGAACCCAGAAAATATGGGAAACTATGGGGGATCCTGCGACTTGTGTTTATCTATTTGCGTGTCCCTGGGCCCCCTAATCACGCGTGCCACACGGCCGCGTTGGCCGCCCGTGGCCGCCTCCCTGCCGCGTCGTGCCGTGGATTCTCGAGCAGTGGCGGAGCGTCCCGGCGTGCCTGTAGGCCTACACCTTAGGCGATGCTTAAGAAAACCCAAGTTTTCGGCCAGAATCTCGATTATTCTTAACGCTTCAATGTAAAACCTAAGGTTTTAATAGAAATGTTGGGTTTTTATTCAAGTTCTGAGACTATGAATTTCTTAACCCATGATTTCTTAAGCATTTCGCAGGGTGTAGGCCTATTCAGAAGCCAGGCGAAGGCTGGCAAACCCGGGGTTGCTACAGCGGAGCTCCGAGAAATTGTGTCTCTATCTTCCGGGAAGCAGCCTGCCTATCATTTAGCGCGCTGAGTTTTGTTCCGGGAATTTGTTTGTTTTTTCCGGGAAGACTGTTTTAGCAGCCACGGGTTTGCCAGCCATCGCCCAGCTTCCCATCTATCCAGCGTGCTCAAAAGAGATTGTCTCCCATACGTGCCGCCTCACAGTTTTCACCTCAAGCGCAATCTTGTGACATATGTTGCACATGCGTTGGCACATACCGTATCACAGATATCGCACATCGAGAGTACAACAATTCTTGTGCGCGGTCCATACCAGGGCCCACGCTGGCAAGCATTGTAAACAGGACAAGTTGGAGCATGGGCGCGCGACGCTCAGTTTGCGCAAGTTTGCGCGGTCAGATCTCTCAGGGAGTTGCAGGGCAGGCCTTGCCTACTGCACTCGTATTGCATCCGCCATGACCTTCCAAAACATGTTTCTTCTCTTTTCAGGTCTTATATGAAGCTGGCGATTTGGAACGCGTCGACACGCTGGAGTCTGACGAGAACTCAGGGAAGCATAGCCGGCAGAGTAACCACAGTATTATGACAGAGGTGATTCGCGAGCCAGCCTTATCCTTCGACGAGATATTGGACTTAGTCGTGCGTTTGAAAGGCGGGCATCTTCACTCCTGCAGAGCGGGTTGAGTTTTCTGTTCACGCTTCTCATTGTTGCATGTTTGGGCTTGCGTGTTCGTGCGCGTCTGCACATGGTCCCATTGTTGAGACAAGTGCGTAGCTGTATTTCCAGCTCTTCTTTGAAAGGTATATTTAGATTTGCCACCGGTGCATCCCAGTACATTGCCGGTATCGTAAATCAGCTCACCCGAGGCCCAGAGGATAGCATTGAACACGGCAGAGCTACGCTGCATCTGGTCCATTCGGGACGCGGGCAGACAAGAGGGTTTTTGGGATCAGCTCGGCTTCGCCCCTAAGGGTGCGAAAACCAAATTCAAAGGAACGGTCTTTTACATCTGTGTCTCGGCCCCGGGACAAGCCATCCAGAAAGGCACCGAAGGGCCCAAGAGCGGTTGGTGGCTGAGAATCCCGGGCCTGGGCCCCTTGAAGGGCATCTTCGATATTCATCGCAGAGATCTCGAACGGGTCTGAGGACACTCAAGTGCTTCGCGGCCTTGGCGCACCATTATTATATGGCGCCAAGCAACATGAAACATCAGAGGTTTTACAGACATGTTTGCTTGTGATTGGAGGTTGACCAAGAAGGGCCAGGGAGAGGGGTGGAAATCCAGCACACGACAGGACTGGCATCTCAAGAAACCGCAATTGTACGAGCAGCGGGGCGGGTACTCAACCACGTGTACAAAGCAAGGGGAGGGGCGCAATGTGTGGCTTTAGATTTAGATATGTATATACTGCACTGGCATTGTTGGACCGATTGCCTGCAGAGGTTCATGTACGTGTGACGTTCAAGGGCCGATCTGCATTCAGCCCTAACCTATTTGTAGAAGGCGCGAGCGGGCATTGCAACACATGCCTGAGCAACTACTGGGTAAAAAAGAGCAGCTACTGAGTGAACGCTCGTAGTCTTAGTATGCCTCTGGTGTTGCATCACGAATGATTTATGCGGACATGCTCGCTTGCGTTGACAACGAGTTGTTTTCTTGCACCCAACAGGCTCTCCCATACCTCTGGCGGATTGCTTATGTTCGATTCGTCGGCCACAGAGTTCTCGACCCCTTAACCCCCGACCCGCTGTTCATCAGGGATAGGTGTCTGATGTCCCCGTGTCCCAACACGGATCCGAGTGGTCCAAATGAGAATGAGTAACGTTGGGCCTTCGGGGCGATCCCGCCGTCAAACAAAGCGTAACGGCATTGAACACAGATGGGTCTTTTTCCTCTAAGACCCGCGATGGACATGGTATTACACCGTTCCTGCAAAGTTGTTTACAAAAAGAAGCGCATTTGCCCATAGAAGTGGCCATTGACTTGGTACGGGTTCTAAGGATTACTCAGGTTTTAGAAAGCGGATCGTTTCCTGATTGAAGATTGTGACTGGACCGCGGCGACAGCCACTGCCAGGGCGGTGGCGACGACGACGGCGGCGCCAGCGGCGACAACGTCGGCGACGGTGGCGATGGCTAGACCGCGTCGACAGCGACGGCGTTGGCGGTGGTGGCGACGACGACGACGCCAGCGGCGACAAGGTCGGCAACGGCAGCGACGTCGGTGACGACGACGGCACGACGCGAAGGCGCCGACGCCAGCGGCGACGACGGTGACGACGGCGGCGGCGACGGTGGCGATGGCGGTGGCCGCGGCGACGGCACAAGGCGACGTCGCTGGCGACGGCGGTGGCGGCGACGGCGAGGGCGGCGACGGCACCGATCACGGCGGCGGCGGCGACGGCGGTCCTCCTCCTCCTCCTCCTCCTCCTCCTCCTCCTCCTCCGCCGGCGATGGCGAGAGCGGCGCGGCGACGACCACGACGGCGACGGCAGTGGCGCCCGCTGCGACGGTGAGGGCGGTGAGGCCGGCCGCGGAGGCGTCGATGGCGACGGTGTCGCCGCCGCCGTCGCCGTCGCCGCTGCCCTTTCGGCGGCCAAGCGTTGGGCCAAAGACTGGCGAAGCAGATGGACTCCTCAAGCAGTTGTGGAAACCTTCGTGAAAGTTAGGGGAGGAGGGATTGGCGGGTTTGAGGGGGCCTTTCAGAGGCCTCGAAGGACCCTTGGGCGCCTCTTGGGCTGTCTCAGGGTGCGCTTGGTCCGTCTTCCGCATTCAGAACCCGTGTTTGGGGCAAGTTTGGAGGCTGGTTAAGGTTTACAAGCGTCAAAGACCCATACGGCGAACCACCGCGTCCCCCTGTCTTGTAGCAAGGCCTGCGTGGCCCAAGACGTTTGGCTGAAATCTTGCCAATCTAGTGGGCATTGCCATTGTGGAAACCATTGGGAAGAGACGTGGGGGGAGGAAGAGAGGGAGGAGGAGGAACGGGAGCAGAACGAATGGGAGGAGCAAGATGATTCCTCTTGGGCCTACTTGGGTGTGGGACTTTGGCGGCCTCTGACGGCCTCTTGGGGGCCTCCTGGGTCCTCTTTGGCGCTTCATCTTGGAGGCTTCTTTATTGCGGTGAAGAGATTATGTGTGGCAGGAGGGTTGTGCAGAAGGCCCCTCGAGAATTTGTTGAACCGGGCGAGCCCCATGCCCCCGATAATACAGCCTCCCTCTCCCCATTCCCCCCTGTGTCATGATTATCCCAGGCGCGAGCACTTTTGTTCTTCTGTGAGGGGCGGCGAGGCCGAACTTTATTATCACCGCGGCAAGTACCGACCGTACATCCGTGCATGCGACTTGCAGGGAATAATTCGTTTAGTATCCCTTCGGAACTTCGAACTTCCTCATCCCCTGGGTGGGGAATATCGGGGGTGCTCCGTTAGTGGAACATTCAGCACGCCACGCACCCCTCTGAAAGGAGAAGGGGTGGTCCAGAGCCTTCTTTGATGCATGTTGGGGTCTGTTGGGCCAACTATCGGGGGCCTGCTTGAGGTCTTTGAGGGGGCTCTCCGGGGCCTCTCTGCAGCTTTTGGAGGCTTCTCGGGCGATTCTGGGAAGCTCTTGGGTGCATGCTGGATGTCTTGGAAGCGATATTAGGGGAAAGGCTCCCAAGGCACCTTCGCTTTTCCTCGCTTGGGCCCGTCTTGGGTCGCGTCTGCAAGCTGCTTGCATTATATTAGAATCCTTCTGCGCCATCTTGGAACTTTCTTAGGCGGTGTTGGGGGCTCCTTAGGCAGTCTTGGGGCAATACTTGGGGCCTCTTTGGCCGTCTTGGTGTGCCAGAAGCTCGAAAAGACGAGAACGCTAAAATGCTTCTCGAACCTGAGGACTACCAATCCCTCAGGTCCGTCTTGGCGCGCTCTGGGGCCGTCGGGGGGCCATCTTGGACCGTCTTGGAGCCCTCTTGTGGTCCTCAGAGGCATCGCTTGGAAGTGTGCATTTTTTCTTCGCGAGAACCATCGAGGACCATCCTGGACCATCGAGCAAGCAACAAACACGCACGAAACCGAAACATGCACGGGACATGGACGTCCGAGCGACGGCAAGGTCCACACTGGGGCTCCCGATAGGAGGCGTCGGCTTGCGGCGGGAGGCGGGCGCGGGGGGGTCGCCGGCGACCGCGCCGCTTCCAGTGCGGCCCGCTGCCCCTGCTCGGGATGCCCAGGAATCCTCCAGGCCTCGTCGGCCTTGCAGAGGTAAGTCTGGCCTGTCCCTCTACAGGGGGAGTATTCAAAAATGGTAAAACAAATAGTCTGGGGACTATGTTTTGAGTATTGTTTGTGTATCCTTTGAGCTTTTCTAGGATATTTTGTATGTTTCGTCCAAAACCCCCTTGTAGGGGGACAGGACCGACTTAATTGCAGAGTCGACGCCCCGGGGAGCCACGCGGGACGCCCCCGGGAGATCGGGCAGCTAGGGGCCTGGGCCCCTCGGCGAGCGTCACAGTAGTGGCGGGCACCTATGGGACCCCAAAGGACGGCCGAACCGTGCAAAGGAGTGAGGAGGAGAAGGAGGTGGATGGATGGATGGATGAGGGAGTGGGAAGAAGGATGATGAATAGGATGAGGAGGAGGCGGAGGAGGAGGAGGAGGAGGAAGAGAAGGAGTAGGAGCAGGAAGGAGGAACAGGAGGAGGAGGGCAAGCACAAGGACCAGAGGTCTCTTGGATGCCTCCCGCAGCCTCTTGGAGTATCTCTTTTGCGATTCTTGGTGGCCTCTTGGGACGTCTTGGGGGTCTCTTGGCGATCCTGGGGGGCTCTTCGGAGTCTTGGGCGCCTCGGGGGGGGCCTCTTGGGGCCGCTTAGGGTCTTCTTGGGGGCCTCCTGGGGGCCTCTTGGGGGCCTCGTGGGGCCATCTTGGGGCCATCTTGGGACCTCTTGGGGCCTCCTGGGCGCTTCTTGGGGCCATCTTGGAGAAGATCGGTCAACGAAGGGGGGTCCCTCAATTAAGGTCCCCCCCAGGATGCCCAAATGGGGCCAACACCTTAGTACAATCAATGATGTTGGCTTCCTCGCCGAGGCCGTTTTGGACGCTCTAGCTACCCGCGGCGCACCCCGTCCAGGTCCAGGGGAGGGGGTTGGGGGAGGGGTCAAGTTACCCCCTCCCCGCCCGCAAGCCGTCTCGCTCACTCCCACCCGCCCTCCCAACACATACGTAGCACCCGAGTCTGGCCCGAGCCTCAGCATATTCAGCAGTCGTCTTGGGATGGGCAGCTACTGGGGGCCAATCCGCCGCCGCCGCCGCCGCCTCCGCCGCCGCCGCCGCCGCCGCCCCCCGCTGCCGAACCGCCGCCGCAGCCGCAGCCGCTGCCACCACCGCCGCCGCGCCGCCGCAGCCGCCGCCGCCGCCGCCGCCGCCGCCCCCGCCGCCGCCGCCGCCGCAGCCGCCGCAGCCGCCGCCGCCGCCGCCGCCGCCGCAGCCGCCGCCGCCGCCAAGTGTAATACTCTGTCTCGTTTTTGTTGACAGGGATGGTGGGGGGGGGGCGCATCGGGTTGGCTGCGCATGATCCGATTTTGGAGGCAGAGTGTGTGTTTGCATTGTTTTTACAAGGAATTGTGGGGGGGGGTGTCGGCATGGACTCGGGTTGGCCCCCAGTCGCCTGGGGGAGGGGGTGTTTATTAATAGGGAACAGTGATAAACCCCTCCCCGAAGGGGAAGAGGGAGGGGTTGAAGAGGGAACTCCCTAAACCACCGACGCCCAGAGGGCTGGTGGGATTCAGGGGTGGACAGACCTCCTACCCTGACACGTCGATGAGCAAGGGCGCCCTCGAGGGCGCGAAGTTATTCGCGCTTCGCGCTTCGGCTCCGATTCCTCCTCATTCTCCTCTTCTTCCTTGGGAGGCGGCGAGGGAGCGCGAAGTTATTCTCACTTCGCGCTTCGCGCAGCGCGAAGCGCGAAGTTGGGAGCCCTTGATGAGCGAATTGGCCGTTTTCGGTTCGCGAGAGGGCGTCGCGGCCGTCATTTTTGCGGGTCCAGGTCTGTCGGTTTCGGTCTTAGGCCGTTTTCGTTACAGGGAGGTTTATTACACGGAGGTTTGTCCACCGCCGAGATAGCAGGGCGCCAGAAGGGCTTGCGAAGGCCTGTGGAAGGAGCCTGGCAGATCTGGGAAAGAGTTTCCGATCAGTATCGTTCAACCGACCCCCATCCTCATCCCCTTTCGAGGAGGCCCCCACCAAAGTACCACCCCAGTTGGGAATACGCCCCTCGAAACCCGAAGGGGACGGCCTAGATCCCCATCTAGGGGGGTAAATCAGCCAGTGGGGCCCAGGCCACGCCGTTGGGGATGGGGGTCTCCGAAGGACCTGGAAAGAGCTTCCGAAAGACCTTCTCAAGAGCCTGCGGGCACACGTATTGGGAAACACTTAGAAGTTGTCAGCGCCCAGCGTCACAGTGGCGAGCAAAGCTTTGCGGGGGGAGCAGGGTGGAGGGTGTGGCGGTTGGGGGTGTCAGCTAGCATTTTGAGCTCTTGCCTCGCTCTCTCAAAAGGACTAATGACGGACGCAGCGAGGATCGGAGCGTGTGCACGTCCTCCCAGACATACCCACGCACGTGCGCATGCGCCCTCCATTTCCGCCGCAGCGGTATTTCGCAGACTGTGGACAAGAACGATATTAGA